CGAGTAAATTTTTTTGTCATCAATTTTTGACCCTTCCGTACCCATCATTTTTCCATTTGTCTAAAACGCTAGCATTATGAGCTTTTATGCTTCCGTTGTCATAGCAGCTTTTTTTTATAAGGAAGAGTTTTGTAAAACATTTTAAGATCAAAGGTGTGGAAATGGATACAAAGCACATCAACACGGTCAAAAACATGAGAGAATTCGTTATAAACTGTAGAATAGCTAGAGTTCAAAAGGGGATTTTCGCTAACTGACTTTGCAGTTGGAATATTATATGCAAATATTTTCACCAATTTTTGACCGTGAAGCAAGTGGATCTTTCGCTAGCGTATACATAGTTGGGATAGGTGTAGACCAGTGATTCCCAAAGTGGTCAAGGTGGACCCCAGGGGCCCACGGGAGACTCGACGAGTGTCTACCTTGGCGTTAAAAAATATGGGGGTCAACGAAATGTAAGTGGGGGTCCACGAGAATGTATCTGGGTTCGATAGTAAAGAACCAAAATGGTTGCTTGATAGCCTCTTTATTTAACTTTAATTTTTTTGAGTGGCCTTGACGCACTACTGCACTTACCGTCACTTTGTATCTTCATACGTGAGGAAGCCTTAAAGGCCACCTGCAGACTAAAAAGAAACGGATGTTGGTATAACACTGTTGAGGCGAGGCGGAAATTGCTGACGGCAGAGATTTGAGCACTTGTGTCGATAATGTTGAGTTCGCTGAGGGGGCATGCTGGTTTAATTCCAGCACTGAGCCCGAACTCACACACTGACTCTGGGCCAGGATATGGGATCTCTTTCGAAGTTAATGGGGATAAACTTCACTTTTCTCTTACGGAAGAGTTTCCAGCTGAAGTAATTGCAATCCTCAAACCCATAGACTACATGGTGGAAAAAAAGTGGAGGGGAAGAAGTTTACGTGTCTGCAATGACAGCCAAGATACACTTAAGGCATTGGCCAGCCCTCTATCTAAGTAATTCCAAACTAGATCGAAAATGCAAGTCCCGACTAAATTATGTTGGCAAACATAACCAGCTCGCTTTACTCTGAGTGCCAGGTCACTCGGGAGTGCCTGGCAATGAGACATCTGACCATTTGGCCACAGTTAGCTTAGACAAGGCATTCCTCCATCCGCAACTGGTTGTAGCACTCCCCACTTCGACCATCGAAGCCACCATCAGAAACTGGGTGAAAACTTCGCTCAGCAATGACTTGAGAGTCATAGAGGGGATGCAGGTGGGCAAAAGTCGTGTTGCCAGCCAGGATTAAAATTTTCATCGTTCTACGAGAAAAGCAAGGTTGGGAACCCCTCGTGTAGACGCAGTTAGTCCTAGACATTTTCGTAAGAACTTGTTTTGTAGGGTGAATAGTTTTTTTTTGGTGGATGACTTTGCATAGTTTGTTGTGGTTGTGCTACAGTACACAATATTTTATCTCACTAACTATTTCTAGATGTTTAAACTTTTTGAAGGCGAAGACCAGATTTAATGTTAGTAAGGTATTTACCAAAGCTTTATGTTGTTGCCTGACGCTTCAGTGACCATGGAGAAATTATTTTTGACTGTTGAGGAACTGTTTATGTTTCTCCAAGAATTTTTAAATTGCTTACTTGCGTTAAGGTTGTACCGTTTAGCTGAATATAATGTATCTTTACGAAATCAATAATTGGAATTTTCATTCGTACTGTCATCAGTTAACTTTAAAAAGGAAATTTAAAGCAATTCTCCTTTGTACTGTCATTAGGTATGTAACTTGATAATGGAAATTGCGCATCATTATTACATAGTTACATCCCAAGCTAATAAAGGCGAGGTAAAAAGAATTTGTATTCAAGATTTTTGATTTTGCTTAACCCTTCGGAAGGCTACGGCATTCAGTAGAGGACTTTCCTTTGTCTATGTCTGAGTCGAAAGCTTTCAGGATTGCTTTCAAATGTGGATTTTAAAGTGGTCCGAAATTTTAGTTTAGTTAAATAGCTTTAGTTAATAAGCTTTGAAATTTTTTTTGAATTTGGTCACTTTTCTGGTGATTTTGGTAAAAAATAAAAAAATGTTTCAACACTGAACACATGTAAGTAAAATATAGTTACCTAAAAGTATACACTACGTTGCTTATGCATTTAATAGGCTTTTCGGTCTTTTTCTGACAGTCAGTTACGGCAACTTATTCATATTATAGTCGCCCTTTTAGCCGCAAGGTGGATCTCAAAGGTTGACAAAATAAACATTTGAATAATTTGTGTTTATACTGAACATATTATAAGCATTTATTTTTTTAATTTTTATCCGTCATAATCAACAGTGGTGCTAGTACATTCTACACATTAGGGGTATTCTCCAAATCTTGCAAAGCCATTGCACGTAGCACGGATTGCATGGATTGCATAACTTGCAAACACACAACAAAATACATGGGAAACAACATTTCCTATCGCTGCAAAATATGCAACGTCGAAACCCATGTATATATTTTGCAAAATAGCATAGCAGGATAAGTGCGAACCTGTGCTAGTTGTTTTGTTGTTGAAATTGCTACATATTTCTCTCATTCCTCTCATCTCGCTCACTTCATTTTTTTTGCTGTCTCTTGTTATTGTATTTGCTACATAATTTCGCTGCTTGCTATCCATGCATGCTACCACTTTGCAATGGAGTGCTCTCGTACTCGTGCAAGCCTTCGAGAATACCCCTATTGTGATATATGTTTGCAATGTTTTCTGCAAACATTTTTGTTACAATGAATACAACAAATTTTTGTTTTGTTATTCCTGGTACATAGTTATTCCTCGTTTCGATTGCTGTTGCGTTTCTGGCTCGCTTCTATATAAGTTTAAAAACATCATTTTTTTCTGAAACCTAAGAAAATTAATATTATAATAGTTACAGTAATGTTTACGCAAAGTATACTTTTTAAATTACACATGACAAAATACAAAATAACAATTCAGATTTAGACCCTTATCACTAACTCATTTTTTCAACTATCTTAAAAAAGTTTCGAATTACTTTCAAGGTTTTTTTGGGACACCGGAAGGCGTGATGCGGAAATTCATATGTGAGACACCAACTGTCAAATGCAAATATCAAATGAACGATATAACGCAGCAAGAACCGTCTAACTGTGAACCATGCCGCATCTCAAAACTTACAAAAGCACTAAATGGCAGTGGCCGGTTACCACAATTAGTATTTGAAAACCACAAATTAAAATGTTTGCGGCTAATTTGCCGCGGCGCGCCCTCCGAATGGTTAAATATATTAATATTTTTAGAGAATTTATTTTATTTCTTTTCTTTTGGAAAGTGAAGTAAAATCAAGTGACGAAGTTATTAGTCTTTCAAATTGCCGAAACTAAACTTTTTTGATAGGCAGGCGAGTTGAAAACAGGATTACCTACTCTGTTGGTTGGTTTTTTTATAAGGGCGAGGCTGACTGACTTCTTGTTCATCAGTACGTTTTTTAAGTACAAAGTTCTATGGCCTTCTAGTTAAATTTTTATTAATGTTAGAATCTTTATCTACAGTCTCATTTGATGTATTGCTTAACAGTGGAATATTGTCTTCCTCGAATATGCTAAACCTATTTGTAATTGTAAGTGTCCAAAACTTCTTTACGTGACCTCTTTTTAACCGTCATCCATTTCCATCTCTTATTTTATTTCATCTCTTTTTCCTACAACGAACATTTATCTTTTGCCATGTGCCCATTTTTACTAGATAGAATACATACAACAGTTTTACCACATTTTAAGCACCTACTTTTAGATTTGCAGGCTAGCATTGTACGCCCTAGTCGCCCACACTTAGTACATTGCCTTAGTGGAGGTATATAAAAGTCAACATTCAGCTTTGAATAGTCAAAAATTACTTATTTCGTATTTCATTTCCAGCAAAACCTCATAGGTAGGAATTAATTCATTACTTATGGGGTCTTTGCGTGTAAAACGCCTAACTGACTTTATCGGAATATTTGATTTCGCTTCTATAAAATATTCATTTCCTTAATGACAGCGTAAATTTCAAGGCATGCCATAAGAACAAACGATCTTAGGCCTCTCTTAGTAAGCCTGTCTTCTAATATACTTAAAGTTATTTACAGAGCAAGTGTTTTTAAATGTGATTATATAATGCCCTACCAAGGTATGTATAAAGTCGTAAGTCTATGATTCTCAAATCTCCTATCTGGCCGTACAATGTCAGTCCTGTTGTTTTATCACTTTTCAAAATTGGCGGTTACAAAGTAGTTTTTGACACAATTTTCTTTACCTGATTCTCGTTTGGTTTTGCTGGCTCTAACGGGACCTCGAGAGTTTCGCACTCTAACATCCCTAACCTCACATTCCATGTCTGTGAAAGTCTCACTAGCAGGGGTTGGTTTTTAGGTTTTTTTTTTTGAGTTCTATGAGCGCACCGCCCGTGGGCAGTTCATAAAATCCAATAACCTTTCTAGTAACAATTCTAGCTTTTTTCATAACTCTACATAACTGTAGACGCGTTAGCCTGTGCCGCCGCCGACCTATTAGTCCGCGACGCCACTTTGGCTTTAAATTTTGTGATTGCCAATAGTGGCAGCTTTTTTTCTATTTTTAAACGACACCTCGGAAAAAATCTTTCAATTAATCTAGAATACCACAATTTTGTAGCCAAGAAAGGCTCACATGCAATCGAAAAATGCTTAACCCAATATATTAATTGTTTTTCTTTTTATTAATACGCGACGAGAAAGAAGAATTACAAAATTTGGTTAGAACACCAAACATTTAAGCACCCGCTGCACGCGGTCCACACAAAAAGACTTTTTTTCACTTTAGATACACAAAAAACGTGGGTCCTGTACGGGCACTAGAAAAAAACACGAATTTATTTCCGCGACGATTCACTCGCTGCCAGAATCCGGTAGTGAAAGTTTGCCTTCAGTTAGTTGCATATGTGTTTCTGTGAAGCTTGTGTAATTTTATTTTTTAAAAGCTTAGGTTTATTTTTCTCTTTTTACTTGCAGGTTGTAAAATTAAAGCTCTTCGTGCAAAAACAAATACGTACATCAAGACACCTGTGCGCGGGGAAGAGCCTGTTTTTGTGGTGACAGGTCGTAAAGAAGATGTAGCCAAAGCTAAGCGCGAGATACTGTCTGCGGCAGAACATTTCAGTTTGATCCGTGCAACTCGAAAGCCATCCGTTGATAGTAATTTAAGCGCTACGGTTAACAGTAGTATTGATGGCAGCAATTGTAATGCAAATAGTTTCGGAAAGGCGCCGCCTGGCCCACCATCTATACCGGGACAGATGACTATACAAGTACGAGTACCATATCGGGTGGTTGGGTTGGTAGTAGGCCCTAAAGGAGCAACCATTAAGCACATTCAACATCAGACTCAAACCTATATTGTTACACCTTCCCGTGAGAAAGAACCGATATTTGAAGTAACTGGCTTACCGGACAACGTACAGTCTGCACGTAAACAAATCGAAGCCCATATTGCGCTACGTACCGGTCATATGCCTCCTACCGGTAGTAACTCTAACGCTTTAGCTGCTCCAATAAGCTCTTCAAATGAATCACTGGCTGTACATAGCCTAAATGTTTTAAGTCAGATCTTAAACGATCCCTCTATAGATTCTGATTTACTTGTTTCACTTTATAAAGCTGACACACTGAGATCTGCATTTGATTACGCTGATGAAAATTGTGAACTTAGTGCTAATAAAGCAGGAAATATGAAAGGTTTTGATGCACAGGATAATAATAAGGTAAATTTTAAAATGGGCTGCCAGGATAGCGCTTCTGTTGAGAAACAGTCATATATGGCTCTACTGCATTCTGAAAACCCTCAGTTGCGAGATATGCGCAACACATCACATCAAACTAACGAATTCGTGAATTGTTTGAGCAACAGTTGTAATAATCTCAAACAAATAAAAAGTGATCAAGAGTCTGACTTACTTACTGACGTAGACCATATTCATCACGTGCAGCAGAAACAACCTTTATATCCATCATCACAGCCAATACTTAGTTTAAGCCATCAGCTGCAACCAGTATCCTCGTTATCATCACTTCCCCCTTTACAAAATCATGCACCATTTGTTGGTAACGTAGGATCGTATACGCAAACATTGAATTTTGTTAACAATGCTGCAACCGTAAGTTACAAATCTCAAAATACTACAGCGGCAATTAATAACACAAGTACAGGTGCTTTGCCAATTCTACGAAATGGTACTCATACCAGCAATGGCATGGCACGGTCTTGTTCATCCGCTTCCTCGACTGCGTCATCAAAAAGCGCCAACAACAGTGGTGGGAGTGGTAGTAGCAGTCGGCCAGAACTCAGTAACATTTGGAAAAATTTAGGCGACTCTCTTGATGTAGATGAAGGGATCGGTGATTCGCCCAACATTTGGACTTTGCCTACGCCATTGATACCATTGACAGGATCTCATTGTTCGCCATCGACTTCAATTAGTCCGACTGACTCACTTTTGGGTGAAATATCCGCACCACATACTTCTCATCAAAACAACGTTGGCATTAGCAATTTAATAAATGAATCTCATGAACCGATTAGTAAGAAAAAATTATTGCAACAAAACCATACAAAAAATGGCGATGCAGTTCAAGCGCTTGTTAATAGCTCCGCAATCCAACGGCGTGATTGTTTGGTATGTAATAGCAAAGAAATAACTGCTGTATTGGTGCCATGTGGCCATAATATGTTTTGTATGGAATGCGCTAATCGCATTTGCGAATTAGGCGATGCAGTTTGCCCCGTTTGCAGTTTAAACGTCTATCATGCTATGCGCATATTAGCATAAAAAATTGCGCGAATTAAAAAAGTAAGTAATTGACATATTTATTAAAGTAATTTAATAGTTAAATGTGACTCCTTTTACGAATTGCAAGAAAAACAGTCACGCGAATTATATACAAATAAACATTTACGTAAATTTTTATCTTTAAAAAACAATAAAGTGGCATACGTACATACCTACCAATAACCAAAAATATTTTGAATAATGTCCTGAATAGCTACTGTTTAGATATAAAAAAAAAAAAACTAAAATTTTGTCCGATACTGTTTTTAGGCTGATTATAACCGTTTTTAAATCTTTTGGCGGAAGTGAGAGTCAAAGAAGATATTGAAGATCAAAATTTCAAATCGGGGAAAACTTAATACTTTGATGCATTGTCATTTTTTTAAGCATCCTTTTATGGAAAAATTTCCTAAGCGAAAAAATATGATTTTTTATTTAATTATTCATTTAATATTAATTTAGATCAACAAAGTTGCTTAAGGCATGTTTACATCATTGTAATTTATGGCTCATTCGTAAATTATAGGCAAACCATGCTGAAATCAAGTTATTCCGCCTTGTAAAATCTGCCGATAGGTTGAAATGAGATAGTTTATAATAATAAATCAACCAAATAAAGGAAAAATCGACTTGATCACAACTAAGTAATTTATGCTGTATTATGAACATAGTTTTAGACGAAAGAAAACTCTATGGTATGGTGAATCCATTACATCCTTAAAAATGTATACACAAAGGTGAGCGATAGAATAGTTCTGCTTTGACGAGATTTCAGGTTAATTAGCGTCGCCAAAATTCAAAAGCGAAGATTTTTTTTATTTTCCTAACATAATAATAGGTAGACCATGGGAATGGACTTACAGTTTTATTTTTATGAGAAGCTGTTTTTCATGGCAGAAATACATTCGGAGACTTTTCTTTTATTTTTTATGCTTTTCGGAAACGGCTCGATCCCAGGCCCTGCGGAATGGTAATTCGCACTTCTAACCACTACACCACAGTGGCCTATAAGCGCAACTTGCGTAATTAGTAGCCTCCGCATAGTGTGATAATTACACCTCTAATGAAGGCAAAAACTGTCGACAGTATGTGTTTGGAACGAATTTCCGTCATCCCTTGTCGAATTGAGTTTCGAGATAAACCGGTTTCGCCGTTATGCCTTCTTAGATTTGTGGTGACTAATATTTAGGTTAATTTTTATGGTTTGTCTTTGCGGGAAGGTGGAGATCAGTCACCCTCTGTATCCTATTCAGTGTTGCCAGTTTGCGGGCTTTCGCCCTTTTTTCGGGATTTTATGACTAAAAAGGGCGAATGGGATTTTCTGTCGAAAAACGGGATTTTTTGCATACCATACCAAGCAAGAAAATTTAGTAATTGAAAAACAAGAAAAAGCGGCTCTCTGTGGTAAATTAACGTCATTCATATGAACCCTATCAGCGGAACTTCATTCACTTTAAATTTGAAATAGCAAATTTATGAGTTATACAGAAAGTAGTTTGGGATAAATAAAGTGATAGAAGTTAGAAAAACGTGTGGGGAGCTCGAGAAATTATGTATTTTTAAAACATTAGAAAAATTTCCAACCATTTATTCTTTTTTCAAATGTTTTGAGTTTCTAGATTCTAAAAAGTATTTTGAGTGATTCTATTCTTTGATAATGCAAATAGGAAAACTTGTCCATGGTAAACGTTTGGGTGGTAGTCGTTAACAAAGCGGCAGTAAACAGTTCACTGGTTACTGGCATCAAAACGAAAAAGAGGAATAGATTAAGCGAAAAAGCATTAAATATATGTAGTCAAATCTAATTTACTTAACAAAAAATTTAATTGTGCGACTTAGGGCCAGTTTTTCATAATTTAAACATAATTTAAACGCCCGAGCTGGCTGGTTTAAACTAAGATTAGCAAATGAAATGTCAGCCAACTGATCAATTTAAACGCGAAAGCGAATGAAAAGGCTGTTGTATAAATTATTTTTGTCCTTAGAAATTTACAAATTGAGAAAATAAAATATGTAGGTATATTAAGGCGTGTCAAATTGTATGGGAGATTTTTTCGACTATGTGCATACTGCATATACATGCATGTAATCCTAGTCAACTTTACCGAAGAAACCATGGCTCTAAAACCATGGCGAAAATAGGGTTTCTTAACACTTTGCTGTAGTGTCGTAAAGAATTGCTTAAATTTTTTACAAAACACGCTGTAGAAGTTTCTTGGTATCAGGAATCGCATTTCTGCACTTCTCTATTTCTTAAAACTTCCACCAGAGGGCACAACAGTAAAAATTTTCACATTTTCTTCTAAACCTATGTATTTTCGCAGTATGGCAAATTCCTAATTGATCTTTGACGCATGATTTCCTCGTTGCTTGGAATTACAAGTAGATTCCTCCTATGCTATGCGCGCATAGTCAAAAGAATTGGCCCGCCCTAATGTATATAAATCCTTTGTAATATTGCATATCTATGTCTGCACATACTTGTGTTTTTCATTCGAAAGCATTTTAAGTATAATATATACATACAGCGCGGGATTTCTGTAATAACTTTAGTACAAAACGGGATTTAGGTTGTATTTAGGCGGGATTTTATTAATCCAGTTGCTGGCAACACTGATCCTATTAGAAGTTCGAATAGTTAAATGCAGAAATATTTTAGATGACGAAACAGAAATTGTGTTTGTTGTACGGAGTGTAAAATAATAAGTGTCGCACAGGTTGTCTTGAAAAATAAGGAGGTCCTATATAGATCTTGCGAAAAAGTATTTTATTGTTAATTATGCTCATATTTTAATTTTATTGATTAGTTTTGCCAGCAGTGTAAACTTTCGGAGATAAGTCTTTTTCAGGTAAATTTTTTCGTAGACTGCATAAAAAAAGAAAAAAAGAGAAAAGCTATAGTCACCAGTTTTGAGTCTGTTCGATTGCTAAGTATCCTTATGCTGGACCCAAAGTGGAGGAAAGGTTACAGAAGATATGGAATAAATTAACCGACGAAGACTTGCCGTGCCGCTTGCGGTTTTGTCCCAAAGTGATTACCGCTCGTAAACCCAAATAAAGGTTAAAATTTAAAAACTAATTAATAAAATTAAAGTAAAATCTGTTGAAAATTAACAGTAAAATACTTTTTTCGCAAAAAATTACCCTTTCATTTATCAAAAAAACCTGTGCGACAGTTATTATTTTACACCCTGTATATCAAACGAAAAGCAAATTGTTTCTGGAGAAATTATTTATAGCCAAAACGCAAGTTAGGCAAAACAAAGCCATTTAAAGATTTATTCATTTATAAATCTGTTTTTGCAGTTTTCTTTTATAAAAAGCGTGTCTTTATCAAAGGCTTTTAAATCACCAGGCAAGGTTTATAAATCAGAGGAAAGTATTTTATCTGCCTTTAGTTGTTGTAATTGTAACGAAAATTTTAACTTTTACCTGTGCTATTTGTTTTGTTGTTTTGTTTTTCACTTTCGCCAAAAAATTTAGTGCAAGTCAGCTCGAGAAACTATCGATCCTCCTTTTTAGTTTTTAGTTGCTAAACAGTTGGCACTGTAAACCTTTTTATATCAAAATATTTTGTACACGAAGCTGTAATGGAAAGTTATTAACACATTAAAAGTTATACATTCATTAGTGTGTATAAATTTTTATACTATTGAATCAATATAGAAAATTAAAATATTCGTTTTAAAGTTATCTAACAATTTCTTGATGAAACTTAATACAAGTAAAGATATATATTTATTTTTTTAAATTATATTTTTATATATAGATTACTGAAAAAAAAAAAAACTGTTCAACTAAGGTTAAGACTTAAAAGTCATTCGAGAGCATTGTATGAAAAATAATATATATTCTTCCTAGAGCTAATATATATTAATGCAAGCAATTCAGCAACAAATTTTTCGATCAAGAAATTATACCTTTTGTACGACAAGTAATAATGCGAACCTAGAAATAATTTAGGTAAATATAATTATAAAAAAAAGTTATTTTTTAGGTATATAAATAAGTGTAGTTGAATTCATGGTGTGCACAAGTTTACATATACAATATATAATTGAAAGCAAAGTATTGAGACAAATACTTAAATTTTTATAATGTACTTATGTTGAAACTCATTCCTTTACAGCAGTTATAAATTAAAAATATACTGGGATCCGCCATTTGCATTAAGGAATAGTTATAACAATAAAATAGAAATGTTTAATTTTTACTACTTTCGTAAAAAAGAATGTTTCTTAAATAAAAAAGGATCTCTAACATATTAGAATGTAAGGAATAGCAATGAATATTTCATGTTAATTATTTTTAACAGCTTCTATGGTGAAGCTACAAAAAATTACATATTTATTTTGGGTTTGTTAAAAATTTACATAATGCTATAAGAAATTTATTTTGGTTAGCAGTATAATTAGATATACACAAATGTGTATAAATATGCTATGTATCAGCGTACATATAAAAAATACATATATACATATAAGGCTGCCATGATTAAGGCATTGTGTTCAAAGTTCGATTGCACAAACTTAAAATAAGGTCGATTATGCAGTGTTGAGTTTTCCAAAAATTTTGTACTGAAATGTAGATCAACAAGCCGATACCTTGGAAGCTTTGGAACAAATACGCAAACTTGCATAAATTTAATTTTTTATAAAATGCTTTATAAGTTCACTCGTTGTTCTATCTCACTGAAAAAAAATTATATCTTCAATGTATTGTAATATTTCAGTGTGGTTACTTTAATCAAAATTTGTTACAACAGCCTTATTTCTGAAATCATACGTGGAGCGTACAAAATTATTTCATTTCATTTCATGACGATTACGTTACGTTTAATTTTCAATCAAATTACGAAAAAATATGTATAAGTTATAAACATTTTCGATTTCTGGCGCATACTAAAAAAATTATACCATTCCATAACTGCCAAGATTACGTGGGCAGTTTTCGTAGGTTATAGTTGAACAGCCAACACACGCTGTTGATAGGGCAAGTCACGGCTTTTAAACTTTCGCCATATCTTTATGCCTTGATTGTATACTTTACTTCTTTAGATAAAAAAGATTTCAGTTCATATAAATTCGAATTGAGAAATTTTTAGATTTAATAAGAATATATTAGTTTCAAATTCTAGTCAATACTGATATATATAACGAGGATATTTATATA